AGCAGCACCTCCCCCTCGGCGATGCTTAAGAGCTGGTGGGAAAAATTATTTGCAAGCCCATCTGAGTTAGTGGTCCTCTTCCAAGAAAGCTGGGTAGTCGCCCATCGGTGATAATTCTGGCTGTGCAACTAGCTGCTCGCCTTTCTCACAAACGGCTCTTTCCTCAGTCTTGCTGAGCTCTTTTGCTCATTAGAGAGTGCAGGTGTAAGCCCCTGGCCATGACATCTGAGGGGTTGTATCTCCTCTGTTTTGCTTTGGTTTTACATTTCTCTGTTGAAGATAAAAAATGCACTTGGCAATGTGAAGGTGAGGTGCCTGGCTCTGGAAATGGGAGCCTGGACGTTCCCAAGCAGCTGCTTGCTCACACCAGTAAAATCTCCGCTGTGAGTGCTGGACTGGTTCCGAGACCCCAGCTCCGCTGAGGAGTAGAGCTGCTGCCGCGCTGCTCGTGGAACGGCCAATGGTCTGGCTGAACATGAAGGTGGTGTGGAAGCATTAGTTGTCTCGGCCCCTGCGAAAGTAATGTTTTCAATAATTTTGTGACTTTGCAGTGAAATGGGAAAAAATGTTTCATTATCATTCCCTGGGTACACTTTCTAAAGATGCAAATTCTAGTGGCTATTACTCAGAGTAGCTTAACTGCAAGGAATACCTGCACTCCTTCCTCACAGCTTTTACATATTGACATATCGTTAAAAATAAATTAAGCTACAGGCTCCTACACAAGAAAATTTCCTTGAGCAGCTGACCTTGTTTGACACCAGTAAGATCACTGTGATGTAGCAGCATCGATATGTGAATCTGATTTATGGCTATTACATGTGAAGCTGTGTTTTTCCTCTCAAAAGTAGGTTTTGGAGGCTGGAAAGAGGTGCTGGTGTGGCTTCGTTTCGGACTGAAGGCTCGGTTCCCCTCAGAGGCGCAGAGATAGGGTTCAAAAACATTTGCTGCTTCATTTGTTTTGTTGTCGGATCCTGTTTCAGTTCTCTGAGATGACAAATCAAGATTTTAGTTTTGGAGTTTTTTAATAGTTTGTGCTGGGTTTTTTTGGCCTTCTGAGAAATGCAAACTCCCCTGGTCTTTGCTGGGAATGGTGAGATCTATGTGAACCACAGCAGCAGAGGGGGTGGGTTGCAGCTGAGATGGTAAAACACCTTGGCGGGTGTTCTGTGTGCTACCCTGGTCTGTTCTGGGCGAGACTCAGGGCAGTGGGGAGGAGCTTCCCGCGTAGTGGCCGTGGGCAGACGGACACCACTGCATCCAGCCAGCCGTCGCTTTGGCAGCTGCCACGGTTTGGTTGCCATACTGGGGGTGAATTTTACATCACTGCAGCCCTGTTCAGGAAGACACACAGATGTAGGGGTTGCTTTTAAATTTTAGGCAATCTTTGGACTTGCTTTAAGGTAGTCACCCTGACCCTTGGGTCTTGGCTGGGTGATGGAGAGAAGGCAGCTGGAGAGAAGGAGCTGAGCATGCTGGTGTGGGGAACCTGCAGCATCCCATGGCAGTCCCTGTTTCCAAGACTCTCCCAGTAATTCTCGTTTCTCAATTTTTATTTTTTTTTATTCCTTCCTTCTGTGCTTCAGTAACATTATTTTGTTTAACTTTAAAGTTTAAAATGAAGCTTCTCAGTAGCTGCAGTTCCAGAGTGCAGATCTGAGAAAAATGAGTAAGGCTGCATTGCATCTTTAAATGTTGAATGCAAATATGAATGTCCTGGAGAAACTCCAGGCTGGACACAGTCCAGATTGTGCTGCACTGTTCCTCCCCCATTTGATTCTTTTAGGGGTTTTTACATCTAGCCAGAAATTAAATGTGTATTTCATGGGGATGCCAGTATCAGAATTAGCATACAAAGATGCTTTGCATATAAACGCTTTAAAAATCAAACTGCTATTGTACCCATAGAAGATCATTCAAGCTATCTTGAGTGTCACTAAACTATAGAGAATCAGAAGCTCCAGTATACACGTATGTCTTCAGAGGGGGATTGGAAAATGAAAACCTGTGTTTTGTGCTAACGAACAGACCTGTCCTTCTGCAGTGTAAGAGGAAAAGAGGCGACTGCAGCCAGCACTGAACCATAAATCAGAAGGTTTTCTTTTTTATCATAGTACAAAAATTTTTTTAAGAAACTTAACAGTAACACCTTGATGTTCTATGAAATCTTTTAATTTGGAGGGAAAAAAAAGAAGGAAAGGTGTGATATTGTCCAAAAGGAAAGACTTCTGTAACAGCTTAAATCAAAAGGTTGGCAGTTTGAATTTCTTTTTTTATAGCTTTTGCACTTCCATGTCACCTTTGCAGTCAAAAGTGCCTTTCAGGTTTTATCCAGCCCAGTCACTATGTCCATTTATTTTGGGTATCAACTTCACTACAGTTAGTCGCCATTGAAGCTACAGAATGGACAAACAGCAAACAGGAGCTGAATCCTCAGATCTTTTGGTCTGTTAATGTGTTCCTACACTTCCCTTGGTGGGCAACACTTCTGGTCTAATTTAGAACGTTGTGATGTTGCTGAGTTTCTCTAGTAAACTCCATTATAATGTGCTTTTTTCCCTGGTACTCAGTTTTGTCTCCAGAGCAGTGAACTTCCAGTGGGAAACTGGCAAGCTGCAAAATGCTCTTTAATGCTGATTGATGATGGATTTTTGCCTTCTCCAGGATGCACCAGCAGAACGTTGCCCAGGACTGCTGGGAGTGACTCGCTGTAGCTTTGTCCTGGAGACACCGGCTTCAGGGGAGGTAACGTAACCGGGAGAGGCGGAGAGAGCTGAGCCAGGGCTGAACACGCCATGGGAGCAAACACCTCCAGCAAGTCACCAGCCCTTGATGAAAATGAAGATGGTAAGAGCTTTTCCTAATTGCTGTCTGAGATTGCAAAGTCCACCAGTGCAGAGACTGTGACTCCGACAGCCGCTGCAGCTCCCGTGCTGGGGTTGTCCAGCAAAGCCGTGTCCAGATCTGCAGCAGCAGCATGCCCTCAGTTTTCTGCAGAGCTGTGGTCAGGCATAGGTGGCTCTTTGGTCCTTTCTCCTCTCTGGCTGGGCGCTGGGAGAAAAGCAGTTGGCAGAGGTCTGGTTTTGAGATGTCTCTGAGATGCTGCCAGGTGCTTCAAAGGCGAAGCTTGCCCTGGAGATCACGGCATGAGAAAGACTGAGGAGATCTGCTTCGCAGAAGAATCCTACCGTAATGTTCAGTGATTTTATCTCTCTTATGACCTGTTAATTTGCTTAAAAGTAATAATTAAAAAAAATGTCCTGAACAATACTCTGACAATGGCAACAAGCTGAAACCTTTTGAGAAGCAGGATTGTTAAGGAGCTCTCTCAAGGGTAAAAACATCTGGATTTACGTTGTGCCATAGTTTTCTGAACAGCTGTAGGCGGGTCACTCCCTCTTGCCGTGCCTCTGTTCCCCAGCAGTGGGGTCCCCTCTGCCCCAGCTCAGCTGTTGTCTCCTGGACCACCATGATGGGGATGTAGGGCTCACACCTCGCTCAGCTCCCGTTGTCCTTTCATATACACACGTAGCCGTAATGCCTCTTGCATGTTTTTCCAAATTGCTTTTGCTATAATTTGACCATTTTCTCTGGCACTTTGATTGTTATTTTATTTTTTTTTGAGATAGACCTCTCAAAGGGGCTTTGTTTGCCTTTGGCTGAAGAGGGATGATAGAATTATTTTTCTCTCTGAGTAGGCACAGTTGTGGACAATAAGCTAGCGAGATGAAAAGAAAATGTAATAACCAAACAGAAGGTCCAGTGCTGCAAGGTAATTTCAGCTCCTGATGTAGTCAGGATGAGACCATGTTACAAGCTGGATTTTGTGCTGCTTCTATACAAAAGAGTGTGGAAAGCATCCTGGGGGTGGCAGCCAGATGTTCTCCCCAGCTGGCCAAATCTGTTGGAAGATAAAGCCAGAATATATGGCAGGTGAGGACAATGGCTGGGTGAGGTGGACATGTGTTATTCTGTGGTCCTGCACCGTGCCCTCTCTAGCCCACCATCAGCTCCAGGGCTGAGACGAGCACTGGACAGGTCTTTGTTGCTCTGCCTGGATCTGCACCGAGCTCAGCTCCCTGGTACGGAGGGACTTGGGTTGTCATTCCTGGTCCTGTGGTAGCTCTTGTTTTCCTGAGGCTGCAAAGCAGAGAAGGGAAGGAGCAAGTATAATGACAATGGGGGAAACTCCAGTGACAAATGGAAGAGGAGCTGCAAGAGACTGTGTCGTGTGGTGCTGGTCATGCTGGGGCAGGAGGACCTGAGCCCCTGGAGCACTGACTCCCACATGGAGTCTGGGGGCTTTGGCAGGGTTGATAAGGATGTTTTGATTTGTCTCTGATAAGGATGTTTTTCATGACTGGTTAAGTTCTGCATTATTTTTTATCTAAATATTGTTCCTTGAACCTGGGCTTAGAAACAGAACCCCTGCTTTCAAATTGGTGTTTCATGTTTATGCTCCAGTTGCTTCTTTAAAGCAACTGTATTATCTTCCTTGGCATCTCTTAAACATAATTTGTATGAGTTGGCATATCGCATGAATTTTCTCTCTGAAGGGCAAACACTTCGGCTTTTTCATTGTTTTAGATGCCATCAGGCAGTGAAATGAGGCTTGTCAAATCTGTAAGTGTGGATTCAGGATGAAGAACATGTGTTTGGTTCCTGATTTGGACACCAAATTTCAGCACTCTTTGGGAGTGAGATTCTGGATTGGCTCACTGTGAAAATGAGGAATAGCAGGAAAGCTAAACCAGACAGAGGTTAAAATGGGATTGTACATAGTTTGAGAATCTTAAAAAGCACATGATTTTTCTTTCTTATGAACAGCTCGATTATAGAGCTGTGTTTAAAATGCTAATGAAATCATTAGTATTAAAAGACAAGGAGATAGATGGTGTTAACATGCTCATGAAAGCATTCCTATTAGAGGACAATGGAGACAGAGGGTGTTAGCACACAAAACCTGGCTGCCGGCTTAACTTGGGATTTACATCTGTTCCAGATGTTAACATCTGTGTGGACCTGGGCGTTTTCATGCTCTGCCTCACTCTTGCAGAGCCCTGTGCAGGGACCCAGGACTCCCCGTGCCCATGGCTGTGGGCTGCCTGGTGCTGCCCGTGGCTCCTGCAGCCCGTGGCCGTGAGCATCTTCACTCGCCCTTTTTCTTCTGCAGGTACCCACTGCCCTTCTCTCAAGTGGTTTAACTGGTTAAGCTTGGTCTAACTAGTTAAACTCGGTCATTATCAACTTGTATTTAGCACAATATTTGCAGCTGCTGTTCTAGACTTGAAAAAGGGCTTCTGTGCCTAAAAGCTGATCTCTTTATGGTTTCCAGCTACTGCACCAGGAAGACTTTGCTTTGGTTAGATCGTGGCACCCTACCTGAAAAGATAAAGGCGATGAAATCAGTGTGTATGTTTTAAAATGGTATTCTGAGAACGGACTGCCCAGTGAATATAAGACTCCTGAGCACGTACACAGTGGCTGTTTTCAGCCTTTTTTTATGGAGAAAGTTTGGGCAGGCTCAATGGACCATATGGCTGAGGCAGTGTGGTGACTCTCATGAATCATGATTATGTCGAACAAAACCTAGCCCGCCTGGTTAATTTCTTTGGAAAATACGTGCTTTACAAAGAAAAAAAATATCCACGAGCAAAGTATGAGTACACTTCCCTATAGCTGTGCGGTGGCAATGATCTAGTGTCTCTCCTGTTATCCTAGTGTCAGCTTAGAAGCAGGATGTGTCTTGAGGAAAATGGGTTTGTTTCTGACCGGTATCACGTGCAAGTCTGTAGCAAGAAGGATTCCTCTGCGGCAGAGTGATTAACAACAGCTTCCTTGCTGACAATCTCATCTGATAAAAAGCTTTGAGGACAAACGCCTCTTGGTTTCTGTGATGTTCAGCTCAGTCAATGAACTGAAGAGCCGATGATGGTTGTGCTGAGAGCTGCTCTTTTCAAGACAACCTGTGGTCTTGGAAAGCCTAGAAAGGGAAAGCTCTGTGGCCTGAAGCACAAGCTGCTCACACGCCTGGTTTCAGTGACGACAAGAGTTCAGTCTGACTGCGCCTGTCCGCTCCAGGTGACCGGACACTTGGTGCATGGGGCTGGTGCTGGCTTCAGCACCTGGCACAGCTGGAGCCTGGACATGGCCAGGCCCTGTGGCAGTAAGAGCTGGCTGGGAGGGTCTGAGCAGGCTCTGCTGGAGCCAGAGCCCAGAGCCAGCATGATGGGATCTGATTGCTCAGGGATGGCATGAAGGTAACTCAGGTGTTTCAGATCAGCCTGGCTGGTGGTGGTCTGCAGCGAAGGGTGTGGAAGGCAGAAGTGGACTCGGTGTTGGCTGGTTTCCATGGCCCTGGTGGGGACAGCCCTCCCTCACATCCCACTTCATCCACGTGGTACAGTTACTTCTGCTGCTGGGAAAACAAGGGGGCCACCAGGCAGATGAACCCTGACATTTCAAGCCCATCACATTGGTGGTCTCTGTCAGTTCCATGGGTCACACTAATTAAAGCTGATGAGTTACTATAAATCTATCAGAGGCCTTCCTCTGATGCCTTGAAGGAGCATCTTGGCATGCAGTGGAGCACCAGCCAGCAGTGGCCAATGACGGAGCAGGTTTTTTATCTTAGCTGACATCTCCGGGGCTCAGCACCGGCACCTTGGGGAAGTGTTAGCAGGATTCGGAACATTCGACTCCATCATCCTTGCTACAGTGCTTTATCCAGCAATCACAGCAGGGTTTGAACCCAGCACAGTTAATCTGTGTTTGGTGTACAGTAATTTGATTTGCTGTTTCTCTGGATCTATTTATTGGTTGAGATGAAACACAGGCAGCTTCATCCTGGCTGATCAGAAACCCTCGAAATGCAGGATCCTTCAGATTAGCACTTATAAAGCATTCTCCCTCGCTGTGCAGATGTCCAGCTCCCAGCCAGAAGAAGTGAAATGCATGTTCATGTTCCTCCCTCCTCATTTCAATGCATGGTTTGCAAAGCTGCTGCTCTTCTGCTTCCCTTCTGAGCAGAAGCAGCTGCTGGGGATGTTGCCTGGCAGCTCAGCTAGTATCCAGGGTTGCTGTGTGTGCCTTGCAGCATTACCAAAGGGTTGTGGGGAATACCACGAGGGCATGAAGGTCCAGCTGCCCGTTTACGTCTTCATATGTTATAAACATGCGATGGACTAAACTTCTTTGTGTTTGGTTTCGGCAGGAACAAGACAAGGCTGTCACATCTAACAGACAGGGCAGAGTGAAAACACTTGCCTGATCTGCCACTGACACAGGCTGACCCAGGGATCTGGCCTTTGCAGCTGAGCTGCAAGGAGAAAAAGCCTGTTAAACACAAGTTTTAAACAGCACCCAAAACTCCAAAAGCAACAGAAAGTTGTTAGGGAATCCCTCATTTTTCCCAGCTCTTATCTCATGGAGAAAAAGTAGAAATAATGTAATATTATCAAACGTGTGCTCAGCCATTTAATATTTGAATGTTTGCTCTTTCTTGCAGTCACCTTCGACCATTTTGAAATTTTGCGAGCTATTGGAAAGGGCAGCTTTGGAAAAGTAAGTATATTGTGAGCAATCATCATTTGGACAGCTTGAAATGTGGCTGAAATGAATGAATTAGAGGCTCACACGAGAGTGAAGAAATAAGCCCCAGCATTATCAATGAGCTTTAATCTGAGCTTCAACTCCTGGTTGTCAAGAAGGAATCACAGCCCAATTGCTCACCCGTTACATAGCCACAAACTATGTTACAAGAGATCAAATGATAAATGATAAATCAAACGAGCTGAATTTCATTACGTTTCTTGATAAACATTTTCTAAGATTTCCCAGCAAATAAGCACTGAACTTCATGGTGCATCTTTAATAGAGCTATAACCAACATGAAAGGCCTGGCAATTCTTTTAAGAGGATATTTCTGTAAAACAGTGTTTGTTCTTAAGCATCAGGTTATAGTCAGATGTTTTAATTTTGTGCTGTTATGGAACTCCCTGCATATATGTAGTGCTAAAACTCTAGAAGGTATTTGTCCCCTCACACTCCTGCCAGAAATGGGGTGTGCCATAAGCGCAGAATGCGATAAAAATAGAGAGAGAGAGATATTTATTTGGTGGCAAAACAAAAAAAGTTGACTGAGGCTTTGCAAGTTCAGCCCAAACTCAAAGTGTTGTGGAAACAAATCTGAAAAACCCGTTTGTTTTGTTTTGTGCTCTGGCACAGTCCAAGTCTTTCATTGAAAAAATACCCCTCAAACCAAGCCCAAGGTTCATTGGGAGACAGATGAACCTTATCAAGAAGGGAGAGATCAGGTTCTGCTCCTCAATTTCTACCCTGCAAGACTCTCCCAAGCCGGGGGTGGGAGGGATGGACATGACCAAGATTAGTTGGTGCTACTAAATACAATGTTGACTTGTGTGCGGTTCTCTGGCTTCATCTTTGTGGTGATAAATTGCATCCCTTGCCTTCCTCCAGCAAAATTTCTTCTTTGGCTGAAAACTGTATGAGGGGTTTGCTGGCAATGTCCAATGCTGCAGTGTCAGTGCACGGAGGTGGGACTTGGCAGCATGGACTTTGCTCCTGTGACCATGTTTTACCTGCCTAAATTTGCTGACAAATCACCTCTGATTTACCCCTTGATTTGCTCACTTAGGTCTGCGTTGTGCAGAAGAACGACACGAAGAAGATGTATGCCATGAAATACATGAATAAACAAAAGTGCGTGGAGCGTAACGAAGTGAGAAATGTTTTCAAGGAGCTGCAGATTATGCAGGGCCTGGAACACCCCTTCTTAGTTAATTTATGGTAAGATATTGCTCCTTTGTTTGCTGGCTACGTCAGCCGTGTCAGTTAGAGACATCTTTCAGCCCAGACCTGCCTGCTGTTCTGCTGCAAGCCGGTCTCAGGAGCAGCCGGGGTGTTGCCACCACAGCGAGCTGGGCGCGAGTACTCAGAGGAGCATCCTGAAGAGCTGAGTGTGAACCCCAAGGGGAACAGACAGCGCTTGTCCAGTGCTCCAAGCTGGATTTCCGCTGCTGTGTTGAGTTACCAATTGCTCAGCCAGCTGGAACGTCTCAGCAAGTGAATGGATCTTCCCAGATCCCTTGGAGGGATCTCACGTACGTGAGGGTTGGCTGGGACAGTGTAGACTTTATGGACAATTTCCACCGAGTGCCAGCACAGATGTGATGGGTGATTTCTGGAACTGCATGGCCCATGACTGAAGCCGCAGCAATTCTAGTTGCCGCTGGTGGCCACCCTCTCCGGAGGTGCACGGGGTGGCCGTGGGGCCACCTCCTACTCGCGTGTTAGGATGAGGTCCACCCTGAAATAAAAATGCATCGTCCCCACCTCCTGGGCCCCTTCTGGTCTGTGCTGTCGGTCACTGCTGCTCAGGTCCCACGACAAGCATGCCCAGAGCTGTGCCTGCTCCCTTCACAACCCTCAGGAGAGGCAATTAGCAGCAAGCTGGGTTAGACTGATGGGCTTTGGCAGGTTTGGATGGGGCTTTGTTTGAGAAGTGGGTGATAGTAAAAAGTGCAAGATGAAAACATGTTCTTCTAGTGGGCCTGCTGGTAGTTGTTCATACAAGCCACTCTGACTCTCTTATGGATCTATATCTAAGTTATTGTAATCTCAAGTAGGAGTTTAGTCATAGTGGGAAATGGAGCTTGGAAAGGTCATGAAATTAATATTTCCCAAGTAAAAAAGTTCCAAGAAATTGTAAATATTCCCTTTATAACCTGTCTTTTTTCAATGCTATCACCCTTGAACCATGCTCATGTCATTTTAGGTACTCATTCCAGGATGAAGAAGATATGTTTATGGTTGTAGACCTGCTGCTTGGAGGGGACCTGCGTTACCATCTCCAACAAAACGTGCGGTTCCAAGAAGGCACCGTGAAACTCTTCATCTGTGAGCTGGTGCTGGCCCTTGACTATCTCCAGAGCAGGCACATCATCCACAGGTCAGCTGGGGACCTCGCTGCTGGGCATGGACTTGCAGTGGGAGTGAACTCATTGCTCTTTGACACTGAAGAACAAAATTCTCCCACGTGCGTTTGCTTTCATGTGAAAACTGGGCTTCCAGAGAAAAGCATTTAATATAGAACCAGCAGCATCTCCCTCTGGGATAGCTGTGTTGTAGTGCATTTGATTTGCTTGCTGATCGTACAAAAAGATGTCTCTAGCAGGTTTAATTAGCTGTAGCTCAGTAATACCCATCCTGGTCCAGGGAGGGTAGGTGTCAGCATCCAGAATTCCCCTGCTGTCACACTTGAAGGTGTCTCCCTTTTGCTCTTCTCTCTGTGCCGCACCGAGAGATGCAGAATAGGACCAAACACAGCTTTTTTATGTATAAGGTTAAATCCTTTTAACCTTATACACAAGTATGGTGAGAGTTTCTTTTTGGCCACCAAGATTTTTCATGGCCAGTGAAAAAACATTTGAGCTCTTCTCGCACTTTCGCAGAGCTGCAGGACAGCAGAGCACACAGAGCTTTTCCCTGGTTTGGCTCTGGATGGATGAGTGTGCGGCTGGTTCCTACTGCTGTGCCGGGCAGCACAAACCCCGGGGCTCCAGGCGCTGGCTGAGGAGCTGCCCCAGGGGCTATGACGGGGAGGACTAGCAGGGTGGGGAGAAGATAATCTCCTGTATAAATACTGCTCCAGAAGAGCATTCTTGTGAGGTGCGGAAAGAGAGCATGGTACAAAGCTTGAAATGGAAGGGGTCCTGGTGGTTAGCAGGGGCAGGAGCTCACTGTTGAAGGGCTGATGAAGATGAGGGCTTGCTCATGTCTGTAGCACTTGGCTGCTGCTTCCAAGAGGTGAAGGCAGAAGGGCTGATGCCTGCGGCCGCCCTCCAGAACACCAAGGGGATTTACTCTCACCTCCTCGGGGATGGCTCCTGCTCTCTCAGGAGTCTCACCTTTCACGCTGCTTGTTTTGGTTTATGCCTGCATAGATTTCTTCTTTGATCTTGGCAGGCGCGATCCCTGCTGCCTGACTCGGGCTCCAGCGGGTCCTGCCATGCCCCGGGACGAGGTGGCGGGGACATTGCGCTGGCCCTGCGCACCCTGCCCTGCTCACCGGCACCGGGTAACGGATGAGCATGAGTTCAACACGGGGAAATGCAGCAGCCCAGCAGCGAGGGTCAAGCCTCTCGCTGTTGGCTTGGCCCAAAGAAACCTAGTGGAGCCCAGGCATGAGGGGAGTGAGGGAAGAAACCTTCCTCAATCTGTAAGGCGTTACAGGTAGTAGCAGGCAGGCAAAGGCCAGCGCTCGTGGGGATTCACCAGAGCTTGCTTGTAAATAGCGGTGGGAGAAGCTGAAGCTCAGGCTTCAGCGTGTGTCTCCAGCAGCTGTAGGAGTGGAGAAGCACGCACGAACTCCGAGATGGTGGAAAATGGAATTTGCTTTATTGCAGGCAGACACACATATTTATACTTTTTAACAAGAAGCACTATTTGTGGTTTACAAACAAGAGATCAGACTATGCAGCCAGGGTCGTTAGCAGCTCATGTACTCCTCCAGTCACACTCTTATCACACAGGGAGAACAGACTTTCCCAGGTCTGTTTTGATCCTACTCTCCCATTCACCCCCAGGCACATCTTTTGTACAAGAAGCCTCTTATCTGTTCGTTCTCACGGACAAACCCCCAACACGAGCTATATTCAGCTGGTCAGGGTCTCTTTTCATAATTAGCAAGCAAGAGTTCTGTACTTGCTTAGAAAAGAGCTCAAGGACAAAAGTCTTAATTCTGCAATGTAGTACTGCCAGCCCAGCTCACTGTAAAGTGTATCCACATGTAGGGGCTTAAGGTGAGTCGAGCGCAGCGGAACTTAGATGACAGTCTGTAAATTTGCAAGTTATTTAATTGACACTGTAGTGCAAGTTGGTTAATTAACAGTGCAACCCAATGGGACAGTATGAGATTGACAAAGGGACTCAGCTGAGTGAATTACACTGCAGCACCCGTAACGGGGAACGCCGGGAGCCGGGCGAGCGACCGTTGGGCTGTGTGAACAGCAAACTCGCACGGATGGCTGGCATCATCTCCCACCTACATGTAGAAGAGTGGGAAATATCCATTAATTTTTTTCAGGCTAGGAAATGCTATAACCATTTTATAAAAATAAATATACAAATAATCATTATTTGTGTAATAAGAAAAATCAAAGTAATCATAGAATCAAGGTTATCGCTGTTCATTCTTTGAATCCTGGGAATTCCACAGGCTGTGTACCAGATTAAGTGAGATCAGAAGAGGTGCCAGTGGAAATAAAATAAGTAATAATTTTTAATAAGGTTGAAAACTGAATCAGAAATGAAAACCTGTCCTTATGGTTCTTTTAAAAGCTTTCCAAATATTTTTGTATCAAGGGATTCAAAGAACAAATTTTTTTTCAAACTGTTTTTTCTGAAACATTTCTTAACGTTTTTGCTTAACTTAGGGTTTTCTAAAAGATACCCGGTATGGCATCACCATTTTTCACAATCAAATGCAGAGCTTCCAACCGCCCAGACAGGCTGGCTCCGACCTTGGCTGGAAAACAGCCGGCCAGTGCCTGGTGCTGCCCCGAGCCCTCCTGGCAGAGGCTCCCCACTGCGGGGCACAGGGGGGGAACTCGTGCTCGTGACCCACTGGAAGGAGTTTGGGTGAGAAGATGCCCGAGAACCGTGAGCTATTGCATGATAATGAGATATATTGTCCCTCTTGACTCCAGATGTGTAAGTGAATTCTAACTTCGTCTTGGAGGCTGCATTTTTAAAGATGAGATCTTAAACCTGCTGGTTGGGCTGGGGGCAGGTCAGGACGAAGCAGCCCCATGCCCAGGACGTCCCCGAGCAGAGCCTGGCCACGGCTGACAGCTCGTGAGCGAGGGCCGGTGTAATGAGCTCATTAAAACCCCGTCGTGTCTTGTAAAGTCACTCAGGTGGACACAGCGGGAGTATCAGGTGTCCGTTTCCTCCCTTCAGCAGAAAGTGCTTTCCCTGCTGCATTGCTAAAGGTCTTGGGGCCTTGATGTTGTTTTTTGTTTTGTTTTGTTTTGTTTTATTCAGGAAGAAAGCCTGTGGGGAGCCCATTTGTTTCTAAAACAAAGATGTTAAAATAATTTGATTTTTCCTGAGTAAATGGGAAGCAGCTTTCAATATGGTATTGAAACAGATTAGGAGGTAAAAGGAGGAAAAGGATAAAAAGCAGCTCTAAGGCTGTGGGTGAACTGCCCGAGTGCCGCTGGTCCAGACCACAGCAGCCTTCCCAGCTGTAGCCCTGTGCCACCATTTCTGCTCATGATGTTTGATTAGTCTTTCTCTTATGCTTGAATGAAGCCCTGCAGGAACATCCGAGCTCAAGAGCCCCAGCCAGGGCACCTTCAAGGGCTTGATGTCTCAGGAAGTGTGTCCCTCCAGAGCCTGGGCTTTCCTAAAGTGTCTCCAGCTGTGTTTTGTGTCACTTTTCCAGGCTAATGCTTCTCCCCTTCTCTGCCTTTTTTCTTAGAGACATCAAACCTGACAACATTTTGCTGGATGAGCATGGTAAGTGCCAGTTGCTTTGTGGTCATGCATGTACATAAAAGCAGAGTCAGAAACAGGACATCTGAGTTAAAGTTCGGGTTCTTGCTGTTTCTGCCGTTTTGTGTTGCTTTCTCTCCCTTGGCTCAGTTGGGGGCGGGACCAGTCGTTTGTGCTTTGGTTCCTGCCTTTTGCTTTTTGAGCAGCAGCGTCTTGTTCTGTCGGGGTGCTGGGCGTCAAGCAGTGCTTCGGGGGGTGCATGGGTGTGCAGCCAACACCCGCCTCGTCTGCCTGACCCTCGGGTCCCTGGAAGGCATTGGCAGGGATGATGCATTTTGTCCTGCTCGCGGCCAGTTGCCTCACAGACCCTGCTTTAAGACTTTCTTGGCTCTTGCTGAAAACTTACTCAGATTGTAATCATTTGAGTGGACATGCTCACGTGATTGCAGGCTGTGTGTAATGTATGCTTATAAACAGAATGAGTTATGGTTGAATAGAAAATCTTCATTTGGGTGTTTTCTTCTTCTCGAGCATTTGACATTGGGAGGAAGCTCGGAGGAGGATTTTGGGATGGATCTATTATAGATGTTGCTATCATCTTTTCTTTAGTCTTTTTTCTCAGGCAAAACTCTAGCTATATTCTTGCATTACTCTCTAGACACTTTTTTTTTTCTGGCAAAGCTCTCACAGTGAAGAGTTGTCTGCTATGTATTAGCTTTTAACTCATTAGAAAAACACTTTGTCATTTCATATTGTCTGAAAAACCCATGTAACTGGCTTGTTGTGAGAAGCCTTTGTTAGCAACTACAGCAAGGCACTCGCAGAGAAAAAGTCAGTGCAGGGACAAGGCGTGTCTGAATTCATTGTCACTTCGGAGGCTGTAACGGGGACGCTGAAGCTCCTGAGGAATCGTGTGGCTCGTGTGTGTGACTCAGGTTGCCTGGCAGCACCTGAGCCCAGACTCTGCCCGTTTTGCAAATGACCTCCAGTTTCAAAGTGCGAGCTAATTATTTATTTAGGAGCAGCAATGCTGCTTCTGTCCCCAAGAGCAGCAGCCTCCTTTCTGCTTCGCTTGGTGCTTCTCAGGCTCTTGCCCCACACACGGAGGGGTGCAGAGACCTGCCGGTGTCCCGCAGTGGGCTGAGGGCTCGCTCAGCCCCCCAGCAGGGCCATGCTCTGGGACCCCTCCCAGCCGGGGCTGAAGCAGGGCTGCGTGCGGCCAGCCCCCATCGGCCAACACGCTTGGTGGCCTGTCACCATCTCTAGGAGCTCTGTGCCCCATAGGATGGGGGTGACAGCCACCCGAGAGGGAGCTGGGAGCACCCCGTGTATGGTGGCACACTGTAAAATGTAGGTCAGCGCTCCCCGAGGAGGGGCAGACAGAGGGGGAAGAGCTCTGCTTTGTCTCTGCAGTCATGTTCAGCTCGGCAGGACGTAACTGGCAGACTTCGATAATGACAGTGCAGTCTAGGTTGATTTTTGAGCCTATTTTCTGCTCGCTGTGATGATTTACCTGTCTGTTGCAGAGGTTTCAGACTTATTTTCTGTGGATGCACCTTTGACTTCAGTGTCCTTCTGACTGACTTGTAGTGTTTCTTTTCTTCGTCCATGGCAGCAAAGGTGTGTCCTCTCATGCATACAGAAAGGTTTGTGGACATACAGTTCAATTTTTTCCTGTCCCCAGAGCAGCTGATATCATAGCATGTTTATCTATATTTAGCCTAGTAGATTGTGCTTGTTTTTCAGTATCTCTTTCCCCATGGAACAGAGTTGCAGCTCCCCATTCTCTCTCCTCTCCCTTCACCAGGCTTTCACAACTGTGACCACAAAATATATGCTATTGCTAACATCAGTGTTTTATAATATCCTTGACTGAGACTCGTACCCTGAGAGTATGGAGCACCTGAAGACCTTGAGAAATCAGACCTCACTCCATCATTTTTTTAGACCCTTCTTGCCCACTAACTGCCCTTTTTGGCTCATCTTCCTTTCCAGCTGTGAAGTACTTTTCCAGCTGTTGTGAATCCTGCACCCTTCCAGATTTATATATCAAAAGGTGCCCATGGCTGTTACTGGCCATGGCACTCTTTTTACTGGTGTTAATCATTGAGAAGGCTGCAGGAGCCCTTGTGCACGTTCTCCGATCTTTCGCAGGAGGCTGTTTCACGTTTTCGTTAGAGCAGATGCCTCTCATGCTGCCACACATTGAGACGTGCTGTCCTGCTTCTGACGGTCATGAATTTGACGCACACCTCATGCGTTTGTCACCCCGGTCTGTGACATTCTGTATTACCGTTATCAATTGCAGCTAAGAAATTAAAGTGAGCCATCAATAAAGTAGAATATTGGGCAAATGTCTTTCTGTGTAATAAGTAAAGCAGTTATTCAACATCAGAGATTGGGATCAGGTCCCACGATGAAAAAAATCCTCATCAGATGACAACCTTCAATGGTCATTCCAAGCACAAAGTGATTTCCTCTTTTAATGATGGGTCTATTGATTTGGCTCAATGACAGCGCAGCTCACCTGGGAATAAAAGAGTATAACAGATGGCAGTTTCCAGGAACTACAACTAATTAATCAAGAGTTTTTGGCCATGTCATTTGTCTAATAAAATTGAAGAAAAGCTCAGTTTTATCTTTGGTAAAGCTGAGAGGCTCTTTGCAAAAGCCCCGTAATAGCTTTTCTCAGTGTTATTTCCTGTGCCACTGCTGAGAGGTTCTCAAGGGCAGTGTTAAAATGAGTGAGTTCATGCCAACACAGGCAATGCGTGAGTAGCCCGTTTGCTCTGTCATCTCAGATAAGAAAGTTACGGCACGGTCTGTCCAAGAGCCTCCATATTCCACAACTCCTAATGGCATGTTATCTTAGCTGAATCTGCAGAAGCCTTGTATTTTTTGCACAAAAGATGCACTAGAAAGGTGAAGGAATTGTGTAGTAACAGAGATACTGAATATAAGAAGAAAATTCTTTGCCTTACTACAGAATCAAAGGCTTGATCTGGAAGTGCCAATTTCAGGCAGGCAGAATGAGGTTCGGGAAGGACACAGTGTGGAGCACAGCTCCGGCTCTGCTCTTTCGAAACTGGCTGCAAACAGAGTCACTGAGCAGTCAGGAAAACACGAGCCTTGAGGTCTGGCCCCACAGCCCAGCAGCAGCACCCAGCACGTCCCTCTGGGTCACCAGCAGCTGCCACCCCTGGCTGCCAGCCCAGCCCGTCTGTGCTCAGCCTCGTTGTACCCTCCCTGGCCTCCTCAGCCTTGCTGCTTCGTTGAATTTCCCAAGTGGGCCAGTGTATGAAAACTTGTGATTTATTTGAAGCGACTCATTTAAAAGATGCATCCAAAGAAAGGCACGTTTGTGCTGGGAGTATCAAATTCTGAATAAGTCTTTATGATTCATATTTATGAAAGCAGCTCCTCACAAGGTAGAATGAGAGCTAGAGATGAAAGGAAGAACAACGCAAGGACGTAGAGGAGATGTGCTCAGACAAGACAGTTGTGTGTCGTTCTTCTTTCCTGAGGACTCCCCAGTGGTTTGACTCCCGTTCTGTGGTGGGCAGCCTGGGGAAGAGAGGTCACGGGCAGTTTTGCTGTTGTGCCTGTGTATCCGTTATACGACAACAGCAATACAAGTTTGCCTGCTACAGCTAGCTGATCACAGAACAGATACATAGGCACAATTGTGAAGGTCTACTTAAATGTTCCCTAGCATCCAGACAAGACAACAGGAGTTCATTACCAAAGCATCAACTTTTAGACATATAAAGGTGCTCTTACTCTGCTTTGACTCATAAACTGAAGCTGTTGAAGCTAATGACTGAGGAAAGTATTGCCACAGCATCTCCATCAGTGGAAAGCCACTTTGATTTGATCCCTGCGGTTGGAGAAAACAACAGCAATTCATTCGCCCTCTGTAATTGCAGAGGAGGGTGATGAGTCTGCAAAACACAACACAGAAAACATCTGATGCTTTTGATAATGAGCCCAGCTCTGTCAGAGATGAGCAGGTTCGGTGCCTTAGGAGACGGTGCATGAGGTCAGGAAAAAGAAAAGACTGCCAGCATTTAATCGGAACAATGAGGGCGAACTAACCTACCAGTTTCAAAGAAATTCAGTTCAGCAGAGCCAGCCCTGTATGATCACCTGCACTGCTGTTCATGAGTGGTCTGCTCACTGATATGAGCTTAGTGAATAAGTAAGAATAGTTTTAGTGATCTCAAAAAACCCCATATGCAAGTAAAAGAGCAGGCAAGAGCTAGGTGGAAGCGTTTCCTTTCTAATCCCCACACATCACATCCACCTCTTGCTTCCTTTCCCGTGTGCAGGCAGGAGTTGTGCACAGTGTGGCAGCGACAGCAGAAACCGTTCCCTCACTCAAGGGTTTTTCATGATGTTCAAATTTCTTGTGCGAGTCTCTTTTGCTTTCTGCCAAAGGTATTTTGTTTCAGTCTAGAGACATTCTCTAAAGATGAAAATGGAGACGGTGCTTAGTCCCTGGGAACACCAAAGGGCAGGCAGCTAGAAAGATAAAAACAACAAGGATTTTATTTTTTTTTTAAAAAAAAGTAATGGTTTTCTTTTTGTGAGAGAAGTTCAGTTCTCCTCCCCCCAAATTTAGGCAGTCTCAAAACATTCATCATTAAAGGATCTCTTGGAGAGCTCCATTTTTTTCTCCCCAAAGGGTAGATAAGAGGATACCAGATGTAACAAGATACGGTTGTAAGCAACCTGCAGGCTGAAATGTTTTCTATTCGTTCTCCAACCAAAATACATTTTTTCTGGAAAACTTCTTTGCATAGAGTATTTAGGTTTCTGATTCGAAGCTGTTTCTCACGCAAAATGAAAGCAAGTCAAGTTATGCATTAACCTCTGTCTTTCAGGACACGTACACATCACCGATTTCAATATTGCCACGATGCTGACTAAAGAAATCCAAGTCACCACCATTGCTGGCACAAAGCCCTACATGGGTAAGAACCGCAGGCAATTGTACGTTCATTTGATGGGCTTGATTTGACAGCTGTGATGGGATACAGGCAAAGTCCTGCTCGATGAGAGCTTGAACACTTTTCTCACTGGTGTGTAACAAAGTGCATGCGTTAGTTTGAAGTGAGGAGCATCGCAAGAAGTAATTTGTATTTTTATATGAACTGGCTGCTTTAAAAACTATCATTAGTCTGTTTTTGAGCCAAGTAAGTGACTTAGGCCTTGCTGCGTTCCTGGGCTGCGGCATCCACTCAGCATGGTGGGGAAGAGCCCTTGTTCTGGTGTTTACCTTTCACATTTGCATCACCAGTGCAATCCTTTCGAAAAGGAAAACACGCAGAGACAGAAAGCATTGGTTGGCTTTTTTAGAGCAATTCTTGCTTTTCAGCTCACACAAAAATCCTACAGTTTTTACTCTCAGAAGGGAAATTTACTGGCTAAGAAAGTATTTCAGTCTGTGCCTCCACTATTAGCCTGGTAAAGCCCCCGCCATCCCCAAAAAGCTGTGGCTCTCCAGCTTCCTTTAGTTAAAATTCACTTTTCCCTGCCAAGGGTGCAGTTGGCACTATGTCTACATTTACGCTGCATATTAATATTTCTAAACAACCACCTTCGTTCACTGCATCAGGCTGTGTTTGGGCTCTGCCAGGTTGAAGTATTTTAAATAGCAACAAAGAGAGATGAGCAGGATGGGAACAGCTGTCCAGCATGAGGACGTGCCGAGCGCTGGTGGAGGACAGAGTGGATTTGGGGTTGGCCGAAGGGATACTCAGGGCAGTTTTATGCCTAGATTTGGTGAATTAGGGTTAGTCCTTACGTGAAAGCACGGTTGGTACAGGATAGCGGGCAAGTCCTGTGGCAGCAAAAGGTGTGGCTTCGTTTTGGCCTTTGGGGGCAGAGGAGCGCTGTGAGATCCCTGTGGGGGGACGCTGGGCTGCCCCAGGAGCGGGGAGGGCTGGAGCTCTCAGGCTTTGTGCAGTGGGGGGGACGAATCAGGTCTGGTGAATCTCCAGGGATTACAGGAGTTATATAAAGCATTCTAGATTACAAATGAATTATCAAATATTAAACTTTCAGTTAGAAAGGTGAGAGCACACCTGCTTTTCAAGGCCACGCCATCCCTTGCACACATTAATCAATTAAGGTCTGTAACAGTCCATCGAAGCAGAAATTATTGAAGGTCCCATTTCACCGATGGGGAGAGTAAGGCACAGAGGAGCTGTAGGGCTCGTTTGGGTTTTAACATGGTTGGGCAGGGTCAGGGTTTCGAGGTGTGTCTGCCCCCAGGGCAGGTAAACATCTGCGCCAAGCTGGCGTGCTGGGAACAGCTCAGGTCTGGCTCCCACTGAGCAGGACACGAGCTTGGCTGGTCTCGACGCGCGGCCACAGCGAGACGCAACTGCGCGGCACCGGCCGGCGAGGGAGAGGGGCCAAGCTGGCTGCACACGTGGGTGTTTGCTCCTCTCCTCTCTCTCCTCACTGTGGGAGTTTCTGCACTGTGAGGCTGAGCTTGATAAAGACCAAAGGGTGAATTGCTGCGAGGAAAGCCATGCATTCTGACTCGTGTCCACCTCAGCAGTGTTTTGGTAAAGGACTAATATCCCAGCCGCGTGCCATTGGTTTGAAGAAAAAAGCAGAAATTGTCAAAGGCATGGCAAAGGGCAACATGCCAACTCGTGTCCTGGGCAGAAGAGCAGGGATGCTCTCTGTGGCAGGGATCACGTATTCTGTGCAGCTCTTTTCCACTTGAGACTGCAGCAAGGCCACCTTTCCTTATTTCTGTTTTTTGCAGCTCCTGAAATGTTTAACTCCACACAACCCATGGGCTACTCCTTCGCTGTGGACTGGTGGTCCCTGGGAATCACTGCCTACGAGCTGCTCAGGACCCGGGTACCGTGCGCGCGACTCCTGCCCTCAAACGCCCTGCTGGGAAGGTCGATGCTTGGTAACGGGAGAAAGGGATGAGCCGAATTCAAGGCTCTAACAGAAACACTGTCGGTGTTCCAGCCTGATGGTAGAGCTGTGGCAGGAGGGTGGCACCAGTGGTGGTCACCGCAGGGGGTGAAGGGACACCTTGAAATCCGCTGAGTGTGGGATTTGCCTCCCATCTGTCCCGCTCTTCAAGTGTCTCGTTATTATTGTCAGGCTTGCTGACATGAGTTACGTCATTATCGACCGAGTTATAACCACACAGGCAGAGGCTTCCAGCGGGAGCTTGGGGGACGTACGACGAGACTGTGCCTGGAGCTTCTTTGCTCTAAAACAGTTTCCCAAGGAGTGTGAGAAAACAGGCGAATTAAAATGCTTCTTTCCTTGCGACGTTTTTCACAGAGGCCGTACCACATTCGCTCCAACACTTCCATGAATGAAATTGTTCATGTGTTCAAGACAGCGACAGTGATGTACCCCGCTGCCTGGTCCAGGGACATGGTGTCGCTCATCAAAAAGGTGAGGGCGGCTGCGGGGGCGACCCGGCGCGAGGGCGGCCATGCCCCGTCCTTGGGCTGTCAGGTTGCTGAGGCATCTCTTCCAGAGCTTCTCCTAGAATTTTGTCTCTCTGGAATGAGGTAACTTGGAAGCAGACATTAATATATGTGTCAATAAATCTGGCAAAAAAAAATCATCCCAATAATCAAGAGATTTTCAAGAAGTGCTGATACTGTTGAAAGCCTTTGATGGCCTGTGGTTTATGCACCACTTTAATTATTTTTTAATAAAGCTGTTATCAAAATTGCTTCAAAATCCTTGCTGGAATCATTGTGAAGCTGAAACCAGGTTTGAAGTGAAGCCATATCTTCAATAAACAAAACTACTGCTTGGCAGTGTCAGATGCTGCTTGCATACAGTAGCAGCAAAGCTGAAATACTGACCTCTGTGTAACAGCACTAGCTGCAAATTTTGGAAAGTATCTAAGTAGTTTTCTAATTTTTAAATGAGCATAGCAATAAAGCAGAACCTGATGCAGCATATATCTATTTTTTTGTTCTAAATAGTATGTAGAAATATTTTGTTATCCCTAATGAAGTACTTTTTAAACTTTTTAATGAAAATGAGACATCAGTTCTTTGCTGAGACAGAATCATGACATATTTTCCAAGAAGAAAATTGAAGAATATCTCCATTTGATTAAAATTAAATGGAGCCAATATTTCCTTAAGCCTAGTACAGGAATATTTACTGCAGATGTCCTCTGTACTGTAAGTGTTGGAAGCTTTTCGCTGAAGCACAACGTGCCACAAGCCATATAGGCTCCCCTGTGAATAAACAACGCGATGTCACAATTATTTACATTTCCAAGTGCCCCTTTGCATACCGTTTAACAGACAGGTGTATCATCATCTCACCTCTTCCCTCCAACTGTCCCTGCAGCTGCTAGAGCTGAACCCCGAGAAGCGTTTTTCTCAGCTGAAAGACATCCAGGACTTGCCCTATCTGTCAGATGTGAACTGGGATGCAGTTCTCCAGAAAAGGATAAGGCCAGAATTCATCCCCACGGTAAGGCTTTAAAAGGGTCTCGGTGTGCCCAAGCGCTACGCAAGCAGCCGGGGAAGTCCTCACCGAGTCCCACAAGAGCCACCCATGGGTCCCGCGGTCCTCGTGAGCCGTCCCAGCTGAGCCGCCTTTCCCAGCAGCCTGGCTCTGCGCTGGACCTTCAGATGCAAAAATCCAGTGAGCTCCTTCGCAGCCCTTCTGTCATAATTGCTTCTTCCTGTAATCACTCGCCCTATCGATCCCACTGTTCACAGTAAAGTAAGACATACAGTAGTGTTTCTGATCCTTCTTTTAACTGGATTAAAACAGCACAGAAGTAACATAACCGTTATGGAAAATAATCCAAGGACTGTTGTGTGGAGTGTTACTCTGACTCTTTGTTCAGCCACCCAAAAGTTGAGCTAAACTGGGAATATTTGTTAATTGGACGTATTTTCCTCTCTCTGTTTCTGGTTTTCTCTGTGGTGAGTGTACACGTATGGCTTTAAAACCAGGTTTGCAGGCTGCTGTGCTCCTCCCAGCAGAGACAAGGCCTGGCCAAACACTGTCCTCACTGTCACACACCATCCTCGTCCTCGCTGTCAACTTGAAGCAGCCAAAGGGCAGTGTAGAAGCTGTGAGCACACAAATAGCAGTTGTCACACCTTGAGAATGCCCCCTGGATGAAAGAACTGATAAAAATATAAGTACAGCAGGTGTTCTGGCTACGTGTGTAGTTTAATTAGTTTATTTTTAACAAAATTCAGCAGTACAGTCTATGAGAGATTCTTCAAGACAGGCTCTGATCACTCAAGGCCACTTCTCTCTCCCGTCTAGAAAGGCAGACTGAACTGTGACCCAACCTTTGAACTGGAAGAAATGATCCTAGAATCCAAACCTCTTCACAAGAAGAAAAAGCGCTTGGCTAAGAAGAAAGACACCAGCAAAAGCAATTCCTCCCAGGTGAGAGCAAGCAGGTAAAAGCATGCGATCAGGGAAGTCTCTCATTTTCCAAGAAAGCTGACTGACACCTAGCAAGTCCACAACAAACTAAACAGACCATTTTTTCCCTTGTGATAAACTCTATTCCCAAAAACTCTTACACAAGTTCCCTTTGGTGGAAGGCAGCATGTGTACGTGCTGGTTTGGTATGAGAGGAGAGGCTTAATGCTGCTTTCTCCACTGCAGTGCAGAAGATGCTTTGAACCTAAAGATCTCTCTAGATCTCCTTGAAATTGTCCTTGTAATGTCTTTCTGAGTTAACTGTGAATTTATTCCCCATCTCTTTATTTTTCAATCTGAATGCGAAAGGCCTGCCATCTTCAAAAGCACCTAGACATGCTCCAGAGGGACTTCATTGTTTTCAACAGAGAGAAGTAAGTGCCGGTGCAGAGGCAGCGCAGGCGGCTCTGGCCCCTGGCAAAGCCTTTGACAGGCCTGGGGCCATCCCGGCAAGTGCTGCCGGGGCGGGTTGGGGGTTCCCAGCGAGGGAGGTCCTGGTGGGCACTGATTGAGCTGTCATCTGCAGGGGGCTGACATGGCACTTCCAGTCCTGAGCTGGACCCACAACCTCCAACTGCAGCGATGGCCCCGTTGTGCAGGCAGACTGTGGCTGAGGGTCCCCCAGGGCTGACCGGGCTCAGCACAGGGCGAGCGCCAGGGCACGGGGTTCTGCCTCGCTCCGGGAGGACCTTGGCATTGCTTGGGCTTTCCCTCATGGCTCAACCATCCTTTTCTCTCCCTAAGGGTGAGACACCACCACGACGACTCCCAGGAGACCATCACGCTGGCAAAAAGCAGCGGCATGTCCAAAGGAGCCAACGAGAACAGCCGCCTCTGAGAGCAGCACGGCCATTGCTGGAGCTTTCCTCGTGAGGCCAGGGTGCTCCTGCCCACGCCCCCACCATTGTGCCTCCTCCTCGGCTGCCGGGACACTGCCCACAGCCTGGGGCCGGGCGGGGGCACCCGCTGCCTTCACCCCACAGCAGACCCCAGGCATTGGGGGAGAGGCTGTGGGAGCTGCCTCCACAATTTACCAGTCTATTAGGCTCAGATCCAGTTATTTTACCTTTCTCGGTGGTGGAAATGTGACTGTGTGAAGATGAGTAAGATGCTCAGTATTTGCCCTTTCAGCCTGACCAGCCAGCATCACAGCCCCTGGTGCAGCCGGCCAGGTGACTGCAGGATGGAGCGGACACTGCTCCTGGAGGAGCATCGGTCTGGGCAGCACGGGGGCGTCCAGG